AAGACTATTTAGCGACAAGAAAACATTTTTTTTAATTAAAATTACTTATTCCAAATAAATATTAAAAGAATATGCAAAAGAAAACAATTTTAGCGACAAGACAATGAATAGATAGAAAAAAAATTTGAAACATAGATCTAGATATATTTATTTGTGATATTTTATTATTTATTATGTATTCAAGTATTACGTTTACCCAGTCGTATTATGATATTTATTTTACTTGTGTTTTAAAACAATGATATATTTATCTTATAATTTGTTTTTAAAACTCTCTTTGTACAATATATAATAAACTTGAAAAATGAATTATTTGTGCATCATTGTCCAGAAAATACAGACACAAATTGTGAAATACAAAGAACTGAAATCAAACAAGAGGAAAACATAATTAACATGTGAATATTTTTCATAATTTTATTTTGTGTATTGCCTCATTTAACGATATTTATCATGTTTATGCATAGTTTAATGTTGATTGAAGATTAAAGGAAATTAATGACAATCTTGAGTTTTCAACAGGTGTTCACTATTTACAATGATTGTATATTCTGGCGCGTGTATTTGTGTAGTCTGACGCGTGTACAAAGTTGAAGGTGTTAATTGGATGTTATTGTAGCAATAAAACAAGGGACACGCGCCTCGTTAATCTCATTTGATGTTTCACATTGTGTGTACAGTTATTACCTTAGGATGAAGACCTCGTTGGTCCATACCTTACGCAAAAATTTATTCCTACTATAAAGGATTACGTTTACAATGCATGAAAATCAGAGTCAAGAATTCCATTGCAATGGAAAAACAACAATTGTGAGTCAATTAATCACATCTTTATCTCCATTCGTTTATTCATACTCTGACTTTGCTGAAAACAGCACATACAGTATCTTAAACATATTCTTTATATTTAATAAAAACTACACAATCCCTTTCTTCCTTACAAATGTTTAATTTCTTCACTCTATCAATATGAGAAAAAAAAATCAATTTATTTCTGCCCATATATTAGAAAAAAAATTATATGTATATTTTTTAATATTTATTTGGAATAAGTAATCTTAATAAAAAAAAATTTCTTGTCGCTAAATAGTCTTCTTGTCGCTAAAATTATTCTTCTTGTCGCTTCTTGTCGCTTCTTGACGCTAATTAGTGAGACCCAAAAATATTGTCCGTAAAATCACCCCTTTTTAGATCACCTGGCCCCAAAGGGTCAAGTGAGCTTTTCTTATCACTTGGCGTCTGTCGTTTTCCGTCGTAGTCCGTTAACTTTTACATTGGGTCGTCCCGTGATGCTCGGATATATACGTCTATAGTTTTAATTGCTGTTGAACAGATCACAATCTGAGCACCTTAATAACTGTATTTTAATGTTAAGGATAGCGGATCACGTGCAACGTTTTTTACAAAAATCTTCTAAAGTAAAGTGATGTAAGATCTACAAACAAGTCATCATCACCAAAACATAGAATTTTGTCATGAATTCTATTATTGTCTTTAATGTAGAAGAGTGTCCTTTGTTTAATATGCACTGCAGCACTAGACCAAGGTGAGCGACACAGGCTCTTTAGAGCCTCTGGTTTGTTTAATAAAACCCCATAACTCGGAAACGTAAAATCTAAAATTTATAAAATTTCGAAAGGGAGGATACCTCAATAGATATAAACAATTCACTGATGTTTCATGTAAATTGGTTTCAGCGTTTTTGAGTTATTGTCCGACATGCTGACGACGGACAGACAACGATATACCATAATACGTACCGTATAAAAACTCTGAGGTTCACCACGAAAAATATTATTAACTGTGACAAAAAAAATACCATAAAATGAAGTTGAAAAGATTATGAGTCCCCTGCACTATGTTCTATAGACCTTTTTATAAAGGATCCAATAATTTCTAATTTAATACTCGAAAGTTGTGGTAGAACGTTTTCCCAACAGAAAATTTGCCCGTCGTCGTCCGTTAACTTTTACATTGGGTCGTCCCGTCAACAGAAAATTTGCATTAAATTGAAAAAGGTTAATTTTGATCAACGTAGTAATATGTTTTGGTGATTTATTGAGAATATATGATATTTTCATTCATTAAATGACATTGATAAACTAGAAAAGTCTTTTAATAAAGTCAAGAATACCTTTTTTCTTTAAAACACCCGGACCATTTGTTTAAAAACCCGGACGGTTTCACAGTTCCTCTCGAAAAAGCCCGGATAATAACAAACACTGAATTTAATGGTTAAATACAAGGAAATTGTGCTTCTTTGTTACTCAAAACATGTATAGTATTCAAAATAAGATAGGTAGTCTCGAAAAAAACTATTATAATTACGAATTAGCAGTAAACTGACCTGATCGCATGTTTTATCACTGGAAAAAAATGGACAGATTCACTCGAAAAAACACGATCCTAGCCGGACACTATAACTACCGTGAGTTTGGCTGCTGGATTCGAATAATCGTCACATTAACCTACTATGTCTGTTCGGTTTGCTCATCCAATTTTGTAAATATAACGGTTCTATAAAACATCTGTCATTTAGGTTTGATATTTTTCTAGTTATAAAAACAGGTTTAACCCACCATATTCTTCGGAAAATTCCAGTACCAAGTCAGGAATATGGCATTTATTTTTTCACTTGGTCCGTTCATTAATAGCGTTTGTTGATGTAGTCAGCTTTTATGGACTTTCCCTTGGAGTTCAGTATTTTTGTTATACGTTTTTGGGACGTTTTAGACATTATGTGTTAATCCTGATTAACAAAATACGGGTCGAAATTATTAATGTTGGTCAATTAATATATCGGGATTAAATTAAGAGTTTATAGTTACATGTAGCATACGGCTAATCACAAATATCTTATTGGTTCTGTTAATTTGCAATATCTTTTCAGGTACGGTACCGTAGGTCAAATATGAATGGGGTTCGAAATTCAAGATTGATAGGTGATTCGCTTATGTTTGTATTCTAATTGTATTGTATTAGCTTTAACCTAATTGGTATTCAGCTTATGTTTGTATTCTAATTGTATTGTATTAGCTTTAACCTAATTGGTATTCAGCTTATGTTTGTATTCTAATTGTATTGTATTAGCTTTGACCTAATTGGTATTCAGCTTATGTTTGTATTCTAATTGTATTGTATTAGTTTTGACCTAATTGGTATTCAGCTTATGTTTGTATTCTAATTGTATTGTATTAGCTTTGACCTAATTGGTATTCAGCTTATGTTTGTATTCTAATTGTATTGTATTAGCTTTGACCTAATTGGTATTCAGCTTATGTTTGTATTCTAATTGTATTGTATTAGCTTTAACCTAATTGGTATTCAGCTTATGTTTGTATTCTAATTGTATTGTATTAGCTTTGACCTAATTGGTATTCAGCTTATGTTTGTATTCTAATTGTATTGTATTAGCTTTAACCTAATTGGTATTCAGCTTATGTTTGTATTCTAATTGTATTGTATTAGCTTTGACCTAATTGGTATTCAAGAACATTGATATACTAGTACATGTACAAATGAGTTTTTCGTGATAATTCTTCTTTATATTCACTGTTTCTTTCAAATGTCGTTTAGTACTGAAGGTTATTTTTATCAAATATTTAGGTAACTAAGGAATGTCATGAATATATATGCCAATGCTTGTTTCACCAAAATAATGTAAATTCCCACATTTGTAAGATTAAAAGATTAAATAATTGTTTTAATATTGTGTTTAAATTAAAGTTCGATTGATCATCTTTCTGTGTGTTATTATTTTTCTATTAAAGGTGTCTTACTATCCTGTATATTATTTTTTTTTTATATTGAACTTCCTCGGGGTACCACCTTCAAGTATTTTAGAATACATTCAAGTACATAATATTTTAACAATCAAACATGGTCAAAACGTACCTGAAGATATACATTAAATGTTTGTGACAGTCCTTCAATTTTTCAGTTGGCATTTTAGATAATTATTTTGTTTGGAAATCTATTTACCTTTTTCTTGTAATATATTTTGAAATTCAGAAATTTTAAATTTGGCGTGTTAATCTAAGTATGAACCACGTGTTGTTTGCTATGCAAATGAAAGTTACTTACATTGATCCATTATATCCACCAATGTCTAGTTGTTTCCATGTTTCCTAAGTTACGGGAATCAGTACGTTCTCGTATGCAATTACAGAAATGCAGACTTTTGTTCAGCACAATACAAAAGAAAAGTATATCAAAAATACTTAACTCCAATGCAAATTTAAAAATGGGAAGTCAATAAAAAATTCATAAAAGCAAACGCTATTAATAAACCGAAAAAATTTAAAGCAATTTCCATATTCCTTACTTTGAAGAGACGTTTTCTGAAGAAAATGTCTATATGTTATAGGTTAATGGGACACTAATTGGGATCCAGCAATTTGCAATGGTATAAAAACCGAGAACAAAGTTACTGCTATGAGACAGACATGTATAACATAGAGTAAATGATCTTAACACAGACACCTAACATTGATCACCATACCATGACATAGTTCTCATTCAATCATTTTATTATGTATGATTCTATCTCGAAGTCTCATAATGTTATATAAATTTGTATAATGCATCCAGTCATTATAAGTAGCTTGTCTTAAAACATATTAATGTTAGAAATTCTTCACTACCATCAACCACAATTTGTAAGTTTTAAACCACCCCTTCTAAAAAGAACGCTCGTATTATTATCCCAGACTACACTGTATGTGAGGGACATGGTAATGGTTTGAATCTACCTGTCTTGTTTTTTTAAGAGTGAAGAGTTCATTTTAATAGCACACAACCTTGCAATAGGCAGGGTGTTTTTATTCTTAATTAATAATTAATGATATTATGATGGGCCAAGTATGAGTTATGGTTCTTATGTCATTACTTTATTTACAGAACATTACCAAATTGATAAAGCTTCACTGAATGAGAGGTATTTTATCTGAAAACCTAGTATGAAAGGACATGAACAACATATAGTTAACAAAACAAGGAAATCTTGGTATAATATTTAATAGTAAACTTATAGCAATATATATGTATGGTAAAATCATTGTGAGACTAATGAAAACAGCATAAAAAACAAACAAACAAAACAACTGTTTATCAAAAACAATATCACAAATAAAATGACAAAAACTGTCCAGTCCAGCTGGATTAAGTACCTAGGTGTATTGATTAAAGAACAATGATAGTAATTTCAGTACATTTCAAGTTATTTTGTACAGAAACAAAATAAAGAACATAGGCCCATTTCAATGATGCCACTTTAACTAAAACAGTTTTGATGAAAGAAAAAGTTATAAACCTCATAAGATCTATATAGGTTTATACTGAAATTAGCCATTATAAATTACAGAAATGCATTTTATTTCCATCTATCAATTTCCCTTCAAAGCAAGACTTAACACTATTTTATCTGTTAGAAACAAAATTTTGACAAGTTTAAAAAAAAACTTTTTAATTTATTAAAAAACTAAATGAATTATGATGGGAGATAACTCCAGACGATTTAACTCTATAAAAGATGGTATAGATAATTTTAATACAAAATTTCTTTTTGTAGCAATAACAAGAAAATGGTGATCATATTTTTCCAATTTTCTTTTTCTTAAAGTATTTTTTAATACCTGTCTTTTCATTTTGAAATTATAGTGTTTTTTTTACACTTTAGACAAATTATGAGCATTTTACACAGTTAGAAGCTACAAAACAAGACTAATTGAATATATACTATGTTTTTACAGTTTTAGCATAAAAAAACTTATTTGTTTGCAAATATATAAAGAACTTTTATTTAGTTTGCTAATACTACTTTAAAGTAAGGATGCAATAGTGTTGAAAGTGGTGTTAAACACCAATCAATCAATCAATAAAGTAAGGATGATCATAATCATCTGTATTCTTGTTTATTCATTTAGCTATTTCATAGCTAATAGCCCTCTGCAGACAAAAGAAATACTTTATTGACAATTAATAGGTAAGCAGATGAAATAACTTCAATTATTACATGAGAAAATAATGAATATATTAAAATTACAAATACTATGAACAAAAGAATAAGTTTTAATTAGTTAAAAGCTAACACGTGGAAACTGTGTATATCTAATATTAGGTCAGTGGGCATGTTTTATTTTAAATACACAGTTAATAGTAGAGCTAGGTTCCTTTAAAAAAAAAAACGGTGTGGTGTCTTTTGAAAATACGTTACATTGTTAACAAACCATAATTGTAATTTTTTCATGCTTTTAGACAAAAACATGTCTTAGATGCACACTGTGTAACTAATATTATTTCACATAAGTAAACTGACTGATCAAGACAAAATGTTTCAGCAGTCAGTTCATGTACATGTATGATGTACATTGACAGAGGTTCTCTGGTTCAGAAAAACATCATACCTATCAAAACTGGAGTACATCAATTTCTCATATTTGAAATTTTTCATTTTCAAAATCTAATACATGTACATTAAATCATTAAAACAAATATAAAAAGGTAAACAAGGCTAACAAAATTCTTTAAAATAAAATAATACATGATACTGTGGATTCATTCATTTTCCTGAGTACCAATTTTCGTGGAATGAGGAAAGTTTGTATTTTAGTGGATACTTGATTTCATGATTTTTCCTAAGACTGCTCACAAACCTATAGAACATTTATACTTTGTTGAACATTTAAATTTGTGGTTCCCCTTTACCCACAAAATCAACGAAAATTAGCATCCAACGAAGAAAAATGAATCCACAGTACATATATTCAAGTATACCAATATTTGATTATGGCAACTTTACTATATTTAAGTACTACTACTAGAAATATGTTTTTTGTTCGTTATGAATTCATTAATCAGCACTGTTACTTCTTTATATACACATTCTGAATTTTAAAGAATAAACCAATGATACATTTATTTAGTTTTATTTACAGTTTATGACATCAATATTTGCAATTCTATTTTTAAATTATCACAAGTTATTTCAAACAAGAACATGTGTACATAGGACACCATACCCTTATTGCATCATCACATTTCCAAGTTTAGTGAACTAAAGAATTTGGTATATATTTTCAAAGTTAACAACATAATGAACGTGTGTACTAAGTTCAAAAGGATGACCATAACTTCAAAGTAAACTACCTTACCCCAAAACTTTAACCTCATATGGGATGGTGGAACAGGTTCTCCCACAATCCAGAAAATGGAATGTTCCCATATTATTGTAGGCATGGGAATAAAATGTCAAGTGTTGAAATTTGTTGTAGAAAATATCATATAAATCAAGCTGTACTGATTTCAATACTTCACATTTTTTACACATCTGTTTATAACATCAGATGGGACATTTAGGGGTCTGCATGTCCTTTTAATTTTGGATTTGCAAAAAAAAATTTACACAAAAAATGAATAATAAATATTTTCTTGTCATGGTAGGTAGTATTGAGCTTGAAACTCTTCAATAAAGTTCAATTAAGTTTTCAAAGTGATAAATCAAATAAAAAAAAAAAACTGAAATCATACAACAAATTAAAAGGCAATTTAATGATAATTATGAATAAAATTATTTCATTTTCATTTACAGGGGAATGTGTACAAAGTATTATTTTTGGTTCATGCATTGAATCCCATAAGCAAAAATTCATTAATTTTAGTTTGCAATCTAAATGGAAGCTGCCATTAATCCTTTTCAAGTAAGTGCTGTTCCAGAATTAAACACATTGGTGGGGGGGGGGGGGGGGGGGATGGGAGGCACTTTTTAAGACGCCAACTACCCATAAATTCAAATATTAATTTTACTTACAATCTTAAAAATTTTGAGGAAAATGCAACCACCTATATTTTATTAATTTCAGTACTTCCCATCCCCCAGCCTGATAACGTTTGGAACATCCCTAAAATGTTACTTCATCATTTCCAGTTTACTTGCTGTATCTCTCATCATCATCATTAAAACCCACATACATTTTTTTTTTTGCATTCACTTTTTAAGTCAGAAAGTACTGAAAGAAAATAACATGGGATTGGTTGATTGCGTAATTTTAAACTCAAACATACTAATGACAAAATGGCCTCTTCATCAGAATCAGAATGCTCCGGGACCGTAAAAAATGCCAATTGTTTTTAGGCAAACAAATGGTTACCATATTTCTGGTGAAAAAGTTTTAGATCCTGTAATTTGGAGAGCCCATCTTTAATTTAGTATGTTTTCAGACAGTTTAAATCTTAACAAGAAAGTATTGTGAGATGATGCAGTGTGAATAAATAAATTGACCTCATATAGACAAAAACTGCTCTTCAACTGTAAAGAGCACCAAAATGTGTTGGATTTCAATGAACAGGAAGAAGCCCCTTCACATTTTACACAAATTGTACATGAACATAACATATTATTTCTTTACCATTTCCCACGATAATAACTTTTGAGTAATTACCTTGAACACAATTAATGTGTCATTCTAATTCTACTTAAGTTACATTTTAATTGCACAGTAAGACAAAAATAAAGAGTATTAAAAAAGTATATGAATATATAATTGTTGGACAGCTCAATAATAACTGCTAAAAAATACATGTGTGCAGCTGTCTGAAAATTATTTGCTTACAAAGCACCATTTGTAAAACAGAATCAAAGTGCTTGTGATCACTGAAGGGTAAAGATTGCTTTCATTTTGCAATTTTGTAAATTTTGAAATAAACGTTGAACTGTATTTTGCTAGGAAAATAAAAAAAATTAGTTGGAATTATCTTCCTTTGTTCATGATTGTACATTTGTAGTTGAACAGATTAATACACCATGCATTACTTATGTAATTTTCAATAAAAAAATGTTTTCTTGACAAGTATGGTAATTCAAATACACATCATATTGCAACTTAAATATCAAAGTACAGCATATTATCATTAATTGTATGACAGTGACTGGATAGAATCTAAAGAATGATCACTTCACTGCATAATTTTGTTTGGACTATCAAAGGTAGTGCTCAACTTTGGAAGATATGTCAAGTCAGTACCATAGGGTTTTGATTGCATTTTATGCAATCTTTACCTAAAAAAGTATATGAATATATAATTGCTGGACAGCTGAATAATGATTACTGCTTAAGAATACATGTGTGCAGCTGCTGGAAAATTATCTGCTTACAAAGCATTATTTGTAAAACAAAAAAATCATCGGAAATCTTTAATGGAATGCTGTAGATATCACAACTTGTTTTCTACTCCATGACCCGTTTTAACGTATCTATCTTCAGACCTGTACACTTCCCCATACTTAATGGAAGATGATGATCACTACAGAATGTCCATTTCTTTTTGTCCAGGCTTTGTTGAATACTGATTGCACAACAAAATGGAATTTTTGTAATAAAGTCTTGGTATTGCTGTTCAGTTTTTGATTGTTTACCTAACAATGATCTCGAACAGAGATCCAATGTCCCTGAATGTCCTACTAACAGTACACTATCTCCTAAAAAAGAAAAAGAAGGATGCAGCCTTAGAAATAGTAGCTGTTGTTGAAAGTATGGTAAGCTAAACATACTTTATGTGCTGCTAAAGAAATCAATTTTGTTTCTTTCTAATTCTATTTTCATGACTGAGATGACGGCTGAATTAAGAGCCTCAAGGTAGATCATTGAATGCTTATTGAGTCACCCTCTTTAAATAAAGTCATTATCATTATTATTATTATCATTATTAATATTATTATTATTATTACTATTATGGAATGTATCTACCTCAGAAGTAGCTCTGATTCTTTAGGGCTCTTCCATTAAAATGTGTGTGGGAGGGTAGGAAGGGAAGTTTAATTATTGAATGTGGGTCATGGGTCTTTTTTCAGTATGTGTCTATTACCATTATGCAAAATTATCTAAAAAATGGTTCTTGGTTGTAGGGATATTTTGAAAGTCCCTTCCTACCCTCCCACATACATTTTAATGGAATAGCCCTTAATGGGTTTGGTTTTACTTGTAGCCTTTAAGTTTTACACTCTTGTCATTGTTTGTATTAAGTTTTGGATTTTCAAAACCTTTATACATCAAGCATCACTGTAGAGACATGCATTGTCAGACATGTGCATCTGGTGCATTTCAAATTGGTACCAATAAGGTCAATACATGTACATATTCTAACTGTGAAAAGATATTAAACACACTACAGTTCTATTTGTCTGACATGACAATACATCAATGATAGTGATACCTTAACATTTTGATATCGCATGAAAACTTTTGTGCAAAAGTGATTGTTTTATGAATACTGCTGACTGATTCAATTATTTTCATTGGAACCAATTTTTTTCGTGAATTGAGGAAAATTGTATGTTTTTGTGGATATTTGATTTCGAGGTTTAATAGCATATTACCCCAAAATCTACTAAAATTGGTACTTGAAGAAAAATGATGAATCCAGTCTATAGTCCAATGATGTATAATTCCAAATAATGACAATGTAAAACGTAACATTTAGATGTCGCAAGACTTGAAGAGAAAATTTGTGAACAAAACTGATATAACATGTCTATAGCTCAATGATGTACCATTCCAAACAATGACAAAGTAAAATGTCAAATTTAGATGTCATAAGACTTAAGGATGTACTTAGGTGAAATTATAAAAATCAAGACTTTAAAATTGATACTATAAGTTGGAAGAGCATTAGTTAAGGAACAAAATAAGCTAAAAATATTGATAGGTTATGGAGCTCCTTTTCAAGATATTTGATTTTTAAAAAGTGGAGGGAAAAGGCTGACTCAGACTTTTAACTTATATTTGCATAGATGGTATTATTTGGTTCTCAAATCGAAAGAAAAGAAATCTAGAATCTGCTTAAATTTTGGTAAATGACCTTTTAAAAGCTACTAAAGTCTTATATGAAAAGAAAAATGGGTGTTATGGGGCAAAATATTTTACCCTGTATTAAAGAAAAAAAACTAAGGAGTCTGAACATTTGACTCAAATTCCTAAACCTCACCTAAGTACATCCTTAAGGATGTTTGCTACTCATGTTTTTGACTTTTTGTCAGATATTCGGAATCCTCTAGTTTTATCGATGTAGTACCAATAAAAAAAATCCCGCTTTTCTATTCATATTTTTATTACATATAGTTTAACTAACCATTTCTGAAAATCCTATAAAATCCTTGTTTTTTTTCATAGTGTATGAAAGCAAAAAGGTGCCAATGTTAAATGAATGAAAAATCTAGAGAGAATCATTTCCCGCCAATTTTGCAACGGCTTATATCTCGAAAACAAGCACACTTCATTTTTTTCTGCTTTTTTAGTTCCTTTATTTACATACTATCAATTTATCACAGTCTTTTAAAAAGCTTATTATTTTGAAACATAGAAGCGAACATCCTTAAAGAGAAACTTTGTGAACACAACCAATATTTTATGTCTCAAGATCAAGTATTGAAAAAAAAAAAAAAAAGTAATGGCATAAACTTTTGACCTTGCAAGAGAAATTTTGTGTACAAAAGTGATTTTTTTAATAAATAATGTCAGTAGATCAAGTGCTGCAGAACTCCAAATGAAGTGACAATGTCAATAGATCTTACCACTTTTTTCATGTGATTTGAGTATCTCTCTTGTAGCTCTGTTACACCGGTGGTAGAGTTCCTCAACAGTTTCATCAGGGTCCAAGTCCTCTCTAACAAACTGTGGACAATGGTTTGTAAATATTGGTAGACCCACATCAGTCAGCTCCTGGGGGTCCATGAATTTTGGCACTCCTACATGATAAGTCCATTCGAATAGACCTGGTTCTATTTTGATTTTATTTGTTAGCCCTAACACTAAAATATATAAACAGAAACTAATATGATACCATTTTTCAAATTACCATATATACACATATATAAAATCGCTTCAGATGTAAAGTTTTATCTATAAATATTGAATTAAAATTTCCACTGTAATCATTTTATCTTATTTTAATATTACTATAAACTTCTACTAGGAATATCATTGGAATAAAGACATGTGGGAACTTTGAATATTTAATATTAGGTCAGATGGGTGATGCTAATTTTGTAATTAAAATAAACCAAACCCAACTGACCTAATATTAAAAATTCACAGTTCCCACATGTCTTTATGCTCGAACCCATATGGAATTTATTAACCCTGTATATATATCATATTAGATCACTAGCACGCTGTGTTATGAATTTATATAACTGAATTATGGGAAATTAAGACACAGTTGTAAACAAGTAAAACTGTGAGCTACTGCTCACTGATGATACCCCCGCCGAAATACTTCGGTTAACAGGAAGTTGTTGAGTGATGAATCTGAAAAATGCATCACACGGTATAGCTGACTTGTATAAACCCTGAAACAAAATTTCAGAAATCCTTGTCAAGTAGTTCCTGAGAAAAATGTGAAGAAAATTTTCAACTTGGCTATCATGTGTAAAATAATACAAGTGTTCGGTAAACAGGAAGTTGTTGAGTGATGAATCTGAAAACGCATCACACGGTGTAACTTACTTATATAAACCCTGAAACAAAATTTCAGAAATCCTTGTCAAGTAGTTCCTGAGAAAAATGTGACGAAAATTTTCAACTTGGCTATCATGTGTAAAATAATACAAGTGTTCGGTAAACAGGAAGTTGTTGAGTGATGAATCTATAAACGCATCACACGGTGTAACTTACTAATATAAACCCTGAAACCAAATTTCAGAAATCCTTGTCAAGTAGTTTCTGAGATAAATGCAACAAAAATATTCATGGGGCGAACGGAATGACGGATGGATGGATGAACTGACGGAAGGACAGACAGAGGTAAAACAGTATACCCCCACTTTTTTTAAACTTTGTTCCATTGTTATAGTGATTAATATGAGTGAAAGTCAGCGTCATTAAGACATTTTTTCATCTGAAATCTTGAAAAATTGTATGTTTACAATGTATGTTAATTTGAGAACAATACTGTGTTTTTGTCAATGCGTGACATAGTTATTACAAACCTTATGAGATAAAGTTTCCACATGTCAATTGTCCATTATCTTAACCTTTTTACTTTTGAATAAATCGGAAGTAGCTTTTCACCATTAATTTAGAAAATTGATGTGGAAAGACCTTCAATTGTTCTCTGAACAATTGGTTTTTAATTTTCATTGGTGCTTTTCTGTAACATGGGTCAACATGCAAATAGGTGTAAATAAACAGCTGGGCTTCTTTATAAGAGGTCTTTATAATTTGAAATATTAAGGATCCTCAAACTAAGATCATATATTTTTTATCACCTGACCTACCTTTATAAACTTCTACTGCAGTCTGGACACAGCGTAAAGAAGGTGACGTGTAAATGTGAGATATACTGCAGTTTGTTTTCAGTAAATATTCACCTGCAAATAAACAGAAGTGATTAATAAAAAGTGGCCTCTGAAACAAACACATCTGATTGCAGTAAATTGCAAAAATTTTGCAGGCATATATTATTGCAATTTTTATAGAATGGACAAAAATTTGAGATTAATTATTGCGATTTAAGGAAATTTGCATAAAGATATATTGATCAGATGTTAGAATCAAGCTTGTATTATTGTGATACTCATCATGTTGCAATATTTGCATTAATGAAAACCTCACATTAATTTCTTAATTTAGGCATACAAATAAATGACACAAAAATATACAAGGATTCTGAAAATTGCCTTTTTTCAGACTTGGACCCAAAAATATCAAGTAATTTCAAACTGAAACAAGAAGTCTGAATGATACTTGATCAAAAACTACCATCCAATGGTCATTTGTAATATAATTAAGTACTTACCAGCAATTTTAGCCTGAAACTTTCCAACCTCTGTCAATGGCGGATCGTAGTTATACTCTAAATATGTCTTCCTTTTATACATCTTCTCTGGCAAATTTATATTTTTTCTTGTATACACACCTATGAAAAAATTTTAAAAAATAAATTACAATTCAGTTCAAATAACTAGGACATGAGAAATGACTGTCCTCATTTGCCATAGCATTATAAGTTATGAGTAACAAATGAAGGGTTGTTTGTGAAAAAATAGCCCAAAAATAATTTTGTCTGCTAATGGTAAATACTGGGAGACTGACATTTTTTTATAATTGTATTTTTCATATGTGCAACTAATATAGTGGAGAACTTGTATACTGCATTTGAAAAATTTGGATTCATCTATAGTATTTATTATTTTATTGGTTGCCATTTTAAAAACACAACTTACTATGTGTGATCCACGCTGACAGGAAATACCTACAGTGGAAGGAAGTAGCAGGCATAACATCGGAAACTGACGGTTATGACAAAAAGAACACCAGAAATCATTTTGTTTTGCAAATTTTTTCCATAATAACTCAAAATAAATAGGGAGGATACATAACAAAGTACAGCTTATGTTAATGTTCTAATTTCAGGATAGAGTACCTTATTGATTGCTTGAATCTAGAAGACAGAAGCAACTCACTAAAACAGTTCTAATCATTTTGTTTTATATATTGCTATTTGATAATAGATAAAATAAGATAATTTTGAGATATTTTAGACATCCATTACAATATCTATATACAGTAAAACCTGTATAAACCAGGCGGCTATGGTACTATGAAAAAGGGCCAGTTTGGACAGTGAGCCGGTTTATTCAGGTTTCCGTTTTGACCGGAGGTTAATGACTTGTGACATCCGATATAATGCATGTAAAAGTTCAGTCTGATTGTAAATTATAAACTGATATAAAATACAAAACACAATGACTTTGCACAATCATTGTTTTGAATCTTCTTATTCATTGGCTATAGAAATTTAAGAAACTAGTTGTTCCTCTTATTAAAAAAAAAAATATTTTAACCTTTTTTGACATATATCCTCGTATGTCAAATAGACCTCAGTAGCATATCAGTCTCTGACTTGTCAGTTTTACCTTCACTTTGTGTTCATTGTTTTCATTTGCATCCAGAATCCTCGCGTTGTTTGAATTGTGACACGAGAGTTTCGTTTTACTTTCATCGCTCATTTCCGACGTTGGTATAGCCAATTAAAAAGCCAGAGTTTTATCAAACGAAATTTCATCACAGTCGAAACATTGTCGTACAGTGTACGATACCCATTGAAACATTGTCGTACAGTGTATGATACCCATCGTCATCCGTGTGTTCTTCATTATCAGGGTCATTGGTTTAGTGGTTCACAACAGGGAACCCAGAATTTCGAAAACACAAAGTAAATTTTGAATTCTTACTCTGCGATTTGGAAAAAAATATCGAAGTTACAAAGTAATTCCTATCCGAAATATATTTGGTGTGTCTTTTAGTTTAATTTACACTTTTATAGTGTTTCAATAATACAACAGCTCACTACTGTACCATGTATAAGTTCACGGTTTAACACCTGGCTAATTGATTATCCTGAAAAGCCATCTTGTATAAACAAATATGTTTTGATTGCATATATCAATCAATACTGTTATCTTTTAAATTAATTGGACAAACTGGTATTGACAGGTAATAATTGATGTAATAATGAGTATTGGGACTGCATCATTAGACTGGAATTCAGAATACACAGAGTCCGGTTTACAAAGGGTATTTTAACAAAGACTTTGAAGGGGAAAAAATGGGACTTTAATGTTCGGCCAGAATGGACAGGAAACAGGTTTATTCAGGGTCCAGTTTACTCAGGTTTGATTGTATGTACACAAAGTCAAAAATTACCTAACATTAAGTAAAAGGATGCCAGTCGAAAACCACTTATGTGAGACTATTTTGGAAGACACCTTTCGATTTTTATAAATTTTTCTCGTTTCAATCATACTGCATTCCTTAAAGAGGGTCAGAAGAAACTTCAATTGAAAGTCATTGAGTGGTGAGTATTTTAGAAAGAAAGCCTGAACAAATTTTATAGATGAAAAAAAGTCATATTTATCATTTTCTGTAATAATACCCAAGTCACAATTTGCACAAAAAATCATAACTCATACAAATACCTAAATACAGATAAGATCCGACAAACATGACAAGTAAAAAGATTTTAACATTGATGATCTGTACTGATAAATGTATTTTACTCTCATCATGTAACCACAGTGGTTTTTAACAGCATACCTTTTCACTCCATACATAAACAAAAAAACCTACCATCATCATCAAATGCTTCTTCGAACCAGCTTCTCCCCAGTGAAAAGTCAGGACGTTCACCATGCCTCATGATAAACAGCTTACATGGACCAGATTTCTTTGGTGGCAGTTTTGGTGGTGGTGATTCGGCTCGAGTTGTTTTTGTTGGATTTGAATCAGCTCGATTTATTTTTGTCGGTGGCAGTTTCGGTGGAGGTGAATCAGCTCTTGTTTTTTTTGGAGGATGAGATCTCGTGAACTTAGGGGAATCGTGTGGTCTGTTTTTAACAACCTGATGAAAATATCACGGATAATGATGATGAACATAGCATTATTTTTATCATGCTTAAACCAGTACATAGTTAATTTTTTTTTAAATAATAAACATTTCCAAAAAATAAACTATTGACACAGAGATATGTCTTGCCTGTCAGCAGAAAATTCAGAAGTAGACAATCTGATGGGCAGCAACTTCAAAGTTGCTGGACCATGACAATCAGATATTAGAGTGCAGCACTTCAAAGTGATCATCAAACTGAAATGTACTAATTATAATGAAACTGAAAATATCATTAACCTAACTTAAGCAGAAAAATTCACATTGAAAATTGGCCATTAATTGAAAATCACTGGACAATGACCTATGGGGGCAAGGCCTTGAAATAATTCCCAAACTGATATAAAATGATAGTAATACAACTTATAGAAAATTTCAATAGTCTATCATAAGTAGTTCATATCAAACTGACTTAAGCAGAAAACTTTACATAAAAAATTGCCAATTAATTCAGTCAATGACTGGACCATGACCTCAGGGGCAGGGCCACAAACTAGTCATCAAACTGATATCTACTGAGAGTAATTCAACTTTGTGGAAAATATCATTGATTTATCATACGTAGTTCCTATAAAACTGACTTAAGCAGTAAACTTAGCTATTGTTGACACCGTCAACAATGCTGCCAGAAAAGCACCACTTTCCGTGAAGAAAGAAGCAAAGTCACTAGTGTTCTCAAGAAATATAATGAAATGAAAAAAAAAAGAAGAAACTATAGAGAAGACCAGAAACTTAATCAAATAAACTTTTAAAATTAGATTTTTTTTCTTAAATATTACATTTATGATAGAAAATATATATTTATATATAGCTTTCACTGCCAAAAGGTAATGCTTGCATAGTACATTATTGCAATCAGTAAACCCAAAAAGCAGCAATACTAGATAATTTGAAGGCAAATAATAAAGTCTCTTTACCAGTGCATATTGATTTTCATCATGAGCAACTTCAGTATGGAAACCATTTGTAATGGAGTGAGCTGGTCCTTCTACAAGTGGGTAGGATCTGAAGTGTAAATAAGTTCATAGTCAGCTATACAAATTGACAACATGCTCAAAAGAACCTTATCAGAAAAAAATTATGAGACCAATATACTTTCACAGTGTAAAGATTAAGGCATTCTAAACATGTAGGCTTAAAATCATTAGCTATTTCAGAAGAGAAGAATTTACACTGAAATTAAGCAAAATTGACATTTTTGAAATCAAATGGGTTCTTTCTTCTGTTAATCCTTAAGTTGTGTTAAAATTTCAAGAGAATTATTTAAAGCACTGTAGGTTAATATCAGAAACTTTTTTGCTAATATATATTACCTTTGTTTGGTCCATGCAAATGTCTCCTGTGTTTTTTTAGTGTAGGTTCCAGGAAACATCCCAGTATTCCCTGTTAACCAGGAAGTACCATGATACCAACGATCTTTACTTTTCTCAACTTCGGCTGGATCCACGGAAATAAAATCTCCTTCAATCAGCTCCAATTCATCACCAAGTTGATGTGTGTAACATTTAATCACTTTCCTGACCTATAAGCAATGAGTATAAATATATTAACATGTTATTACTGTGGATTCATTATTACTTGCTTGATACCAAGTTTTGTAGATAACTTGGGTAATGGAGAACCACAAATTTAAATATTCATCAAAGTACACATTTACTGCAGATTAGTATGTATACTTTGGAAATACCAGAAAATCATTATCAAATATCCATGAAAAATGAAATTTTTCCTTAGTCCACAAAAATAAGTATCCCAAAAAAATAAGCGAAATTCACAGTAGTTCATCCATTCTGATTATTAAATTCATTTCTTTTATATGTCATGTCTGTTAAGACTCGCCAAGTAGCACTGCTTATTTCGTAAACAACAACTAATGAATCTATTTCTAAAATTATCAAATATAAAATGCAAATCTCATATTTTAGTTGGTGAGTAAAATTCATTTTTGAAATGGTATTTTATGGTAACACGATACCAAATGGCATATCTCCCTATTTCTAAAATGTTTGTCACACTTGTTCTTTGATTTGACTTATATAGGAATATGAAATAAAAAATTTGTAAGGGTTCTGCGGAACCCAGTGTCTTGCCTACTTTTGCTGTTAATCGCAGGCTCAACAAAAATGAGGAAAAAATTTGATAAAAATATTCCTCTCGATACTATCTTTTGATTGTAAGAAGCTTCTGTCCGAGTCTGGTAAAAATCCAGGATAGTTTATGAATCTAACAAATGTTTTAAAAACTTTAACTGCACTGTTTGTAATGCTAACTGGAAGAAAAATTAAGTCCATTTATAAGTAAAATAACAGGAACAACATTTTTACTAAATTTCCTTCTAGACACTAGCTTTTGATCATAAACAATCTTCTGTCCAAGTTTGGTACAAATCCAGGATAGTTTAAGAAAGTTATTAAAATTTTAAAAACTTGAACCACAGAGTGAATGTAATGTTTCCTGGCAGAATAACTTAAGTCCATTTATAAGTAAAATACGGAAAAAATGGAATCTTTTTTTTATAAAATTAACTTCTGGATACTATCTTATGATCATAAACAAGCTTCTGTCCAAGTTTAGTAGAAATCCAGGATAGTTTAAGAAAGTTATTAAAATTTTAAAAACTTGAACCACAGAGTGAATGTAATGTTTCCTGGCAGAAAAACTAAGTCCATTTATAAGTAAAATATGGAAAAAACGGATTTTTTTTTTTACAAAATTTACTTCTGGATACTATCTTATGATCATAAACAAGCTTCTGTCCAAGTTTGGTACAAATCCAGGATAGTTTAAGAAAGTTATTAAAATTTCAAAAACTTTAACCACAGAGTGAATATTTGTGGCCGCCGCCGCACCGACGACGTTATGTAGGATCGCTATGTCTCGCTTTTTCGACAAAAGTCGAAGGCTCGACAAAAATGGGGTTCACCCTTTTTGGTTTTTTTTTGTTTTCATTTTTTTTAAATTATTTTATTAGATTTTTAATTGAATAGTTCACTATTAGTTGGTGAGTGAAAAATTCACTTGTGAAATGATGTGTTAAGGTATTTTACATATTTAATCAATGCCAGAAACTTGCAGTAGACTGATCACTCAAATCTAGAAACAATTGTCCGTTGTTTGTTACTTTGGAATTTCAATGTGCATCTTTCTTCCTTATCTCTACTGGTTACCAAAAATCAAGTGTTTTCATAATCAATGTTATATTGTTAGGTCTGCTATAATGCACAAAACCCCTTTCCAAAAAATGAACCTTAGTTTTCTTTCCACAATTTATACTCTGCAAATTAAACCTGTGACCTGGAAGAATTAGCTACTACTCTACCAATTGAGATCAAGGAATAAAATACTACTGCATTTAATGAAGAGTAACCTACTACTAGAATCAATTTATTGATTGATTGATTGGTGTTTAAATCCACTTTCAACACTATTGCGCTATTTTGTGACAGTCATTTATTATTGGTGGAGGAAGCCGGAGTGCCCTGAGGGAACCACAGACCTTCGATAGGAAAACTGACAATCCTAGTCAATTAAGATTGAAGTCGAGTGCACCTGGCCTGTGTGGGATTGGAACTCACAACCTCAGTGTTGACAGGCTAGAGATACAATAGTTTGACTTCACAGACCACTCTGCCACCAAGGTCCCCTACTAGAATCAAGGTAAGCCCATCATTTACTTTATAAACAACACTGCTCATCCATGCAGACTTTGGTCTACAACCTTTCTGAACTATAAATTTTAATTATTGTAATGATACCTCTGTCTGCCCAGATCTGGCATCCCTAGAATATAACCTGTAGTCCCATCTAACGTCAGCTGACAAATCTATTTCTTTGGCTAGTTTGAGCAAGGCTTCATGCTGTTCTGTGGGATACTGGTATGCTAATGTCATGTGTAGCTGTTTTCTGTGAGGCTCTAGATTAACACCTATAGATATTAAAGTATATTTGCATTAGCTGAGACTTTTGAAACTAATTCACATTTGCATTTTTGTTTTACATAAAACACTTTGCAGTAAAGTAGTTTATAGATCTGTAAAATATCTACTATTAGGATATTAAACAAATATCTCGAAGAGGTTCAATAGTTACCGATACAAGTATATCCACTTTTATGTAAATGTTTTATGTTCAATCAAATTAAACTAAGTTTAGATAGAATATACTACCCCCAAACAAATCTACACAAAAGGTTTACCACTAACAATGACTAACTAGTCCTAAAGTTGAGAGCTGTAAATTGATAAAAGCTAATCGATCAGTTCAATGCTGTTTAAATAGGGACTTTGACTTTGACTTGAACTAAAATTATCTGAAAATCATTCAAATATATTCAAAAACCCCTAAAATCACTTTTAGAAGTGTCACTTTCACACAAATCTCACAAAGCACAAAAACTTAAATATCATTTTCAAGCAGCCCTCAAAGTAGCTTCTGAAATGAGGTTGCCAATTGGCCACCAGACATGAAAATTTAGTGGCCAACTCAAAATTTCAGTGGCCAGGAAATAATTTCAGGTCGCCTACATTTTTTTCTTATAGCTAAACAACCCTTGTGAAATAAAAGTATTAAGTTTTTGTTGTGTTATTATGCTGACGAGTGTAGAAAATAGTTTGTGTAAATCAACTGTTAAAAACCACGTGATTTATTTGATATTTTTTATATTCATTGACATTGTACATGTTGTAAAATTTAAACAGTCTGCGACGTTAAGTGGAAGCCCAAAGCCCAAGTATAGTAAAAATCTCATCGGATTTGTGCAGAAGCACTTGTGATTGCCCGATAGGTCGCCAGATTTTCAATATTCTAATAGCCTAAATGGTAACCAGTTATGAATTTTTGGTCGCCAATCAGCTTTTAAAGTCGCCCAGGCGACCATTTCAGTAGACTAAATTGAGGGCTGTCAAGCATAAACTAGATAACTGATTCAGAAAAACTGAAAACATCTCTGTACAAACTAGAAGTACAGTGAGCATAACTTGCAAATTGCTACATTTGTACCCATCTCCCTATATCATGTCCCACTTGACACCACTAACAAGGTAAAGATCATGTTTGTTTATCATTTTATGGAAGCCCTTAAAATCATATAGACTTTCATAAAATTACATTATTACTTGTACATGTTAAATTCAACTTGAAAAATAACATATACATCTAAGAAATTCCTCAAAACAACATATTCATTATTTCAAAATAAAATAAAAAGAATGTGTCCATGGGATGCACTTGTTAAATGCAAGAGTCAATGAACAAATTCAAACTTTTGAGTGTGGAAATGAAATATTTGGTCAGTACATAGAGTGCAAACAAAAGAAATGTTCCCAATAATAAAGAGGCAACACTCAAGAGTACTCAATAGAACAAATTTGGTAATTTTCAATTCATAAAGGGACATAACTCAAAAACTGTAAAAGTGACACCATCTAAAATTGAACTTGATCTGTGTTTGGTGGTAACAAGCACTGTCTTTTTATCATATACAATAATTAATTGGTTAAGGTAAACTAAAGTTAGAGGATGGAAACCAATTTTGGGTAAGGGTCAACCTAAATTTAAATGACCCCTCAGCCTAGCATCAGGGACATAAAAATCACCTGTCATATAATAATTCTATTAATATGTGCATAACGGCATTATGTAATGAAGAAAAAAATAACACAAAAGGGCAAAAAAGTCCCTGATTTTGTTAGAGAAAACCCAGAAATTAATAAAAAAAGTTTGATTGAAATCCATTCAATTGTTTAGGAGAAGTTGTGGATGGAACATGTAACAATCATAAACTGAAAGGGCAAAGTTCATGTTTTTGCATGGGAACCCCAGAAATTATTCTGTTCAAATAGCTAAATAGGAGGTGCACTATGCCATTATGTCCTGAAGAATCTATGAAAGTTTGAGTATAATTTGTTCATTGGCCATGGTTTAAATGGTGTTGATCAACCCCTAAAATATGAAAGGACAAAGTCCATGTTTTGGTACAAGAATCCTATAAAAAAACATTCTGATCTTAAAATAAAATAGGAGATGCACAAGAGCAATACCTAACGAATAAAGATCATGTTTTCGGTGAAATTTACTTTTTGGTTTAGAAGAAATTGTTATGGATGGATGTACATCCCTCTCACTAATTATATACCCTTCCTTGTAATGCAGGGATATATTTATTGGATTAGAACATAGACATGATAGAACAAGTACAGTTAAAAATTTAATAAAATAGTAATTTTCTAAATTATTTCAAATTTCTTTTCACATTATTGTTAATAATGACCTGATTTTCTAATTTCTGCAGAAAAATCATCTGCAATTTTCATAAGGAAGTCATAATGCTGATCTCTGATAAACAATCCAATAAAATTCACTTGGCTGAAGAAGTCTAGCTGTAATTTTCCTGGACACTGACTTAATTTCTCTTCCATTTTGGCCAAGGCTTCACTCAAGACATGCACTTTATTGTCATCACACTGAAAAACGAATCAAAGCATTGTCAGTGCTGTAAGGCAGACAATCTGAGCTTAACATGCATAATGCATTTAAATGATAATACTGTCAATACTTTACAAATGTTTTATTCTAAGCAGTTGTTGGAAGTTATCTTTAATAAGTATGGAAAGGTATATCATGTGACTTAGTTATAACGTCTCTTACTTTAGTGGATACTATTGTAGTAGAATTTTGTTTTGTAAAATTAAGCGTTATCAACAATTAAACGTTTGAGGATTGTTGTCTATTTGGCAATCATACAACATCACCTTTTCTTTATTGTAAATCTATTTTACCGCTTCTTCATTTTGGATAACTGAGATTGAATTGTCACTGGTCAAAGAAGTCCTGAAGTTTTTAAAGGCAATAGGATATAACAAAGATTTATAGAATAACCAATAGAAGAATTCAAAGAGAGCAAAATATTCAATGAGGGACAGAAAACAACACATTAATTCACGAATGCATGTAGCGCATGAGTTAATTATCAGTGTTGTTTGGTCATGTGTTGAATATTTTTCAATATTTGAATTCTTTGATTAGTTATTCTTTTTATTACATTGACTTTTTTATGAAATTAAAGTAGAAAATAAAAGGAACTTTAACTTTTTTTACGCATTCACAATCTGTTTTGATCCGACATCAGCAACAACGTCTTCTTGACAACACCAATTGTTGTATGACTTCAGTTTATTTCACATGTGAAATTATCGGTTTTTATTTCACTGGGAAATCAATGTAATAGGTTATAACTCTTTTTGTGCAGAGGCACTTGTATAAAATTAAAGTATCTACAGTACCATTCAAACAAATGATGCATAGTTCATCCAATAAAATTTGTTTTCACCATTTCCTTTGTTGATAAAATACTCTACAGAGAACACTGCATGATACTGCATTCCGAAAAAAAGAATCTATTTCATCATTACTTGAGCGTTAGCTACCAAACATCTAGATTTTTGAACACTGTGTTCTGTAAACCTTTGTGTCCCATAAACATGATAAATATTTATTTAAATTTAACTACCCAAATTATTTATAAAATTTACATACTTTGAAGAAAGGACATAACGTAACATGTGGAAAATAAGAATGGGCTCCATTAAATCCACATGTGTTCTGGCTCTTTTCCCAGAATTCTGTCAGCTGTTTTTGTAGGGGTCCGACAGGACATAAGTACAGGATATACTCTCTAGGAATGTTGCTGTCTAAGGTAGGATCGTGCACATGGGACAGTAGCCTGTAAAGAGAAAAAAACATTTGAATATATTAAGTTTTTTAAGGTTTAGTAATGTGATGGTACATTTAGTTAGTATTATCATGATTATAGGTGGACAAAAGATAAACTGTCCACCTTCAGAGAGTAATCAAGGCAATTGGTTACTTAACTATAGATTATACATGTACATCTTGTCATTTTTTTTTTCTTCAGATTACCAGCAAGATTCTCAAACACTTACAACAAATTTGTTTATCCAATCAAAATGCCTTCCCTTTTTGGTTTTGACAGTAAAAATTGAAAAGCTGATCTAGACTATATTTCTCCAACTTCTGCTTATCAGTCTCTGAACAAGTTTTGGTCTAATTTATGCAAGATTAACATGATTAACAAAAAGTTACATTATTTCAACTTTAAATCAACTTTACATGTATATTCTTATAATTTCTCCAAAAATGTTTACAACATTGGTGGATGAAAGATTGAGATAAACTGTCCACCTTCAGAGAGTACCAAATACAAAATGTACAAAAAGTACCGTATAACTCAATAACAAATTTTAACCTGCCTATCAAATGAACAAGTAACAGACCCAAGTCATGAAATTTGTCAACAATTAGTTATTTTATCTTCATGTTTTGATTAATGGAAAATTTGATGGCTCCTGCTCAATTCATTCATCACCTTTTAGAGCAATTACATTTTATATAAATAACACATAGAAAAAATAATCAACTTAGGGTTAACAGCCGCTATTCGCTAAGCCAAGATTGACAATTTTTATTTTTATGGGGTACCAATCTGCTTTATCAACCTCTCAGCTATGTGTAATTCAATTTGTGATACTGAATGGTCTGCCATTATGTATACTGTTTATTATATTTCAAATTAAAAGTAATGAACTATGATGTCTTATTAATGTACAAATGTACATAACCATCATCCTTATTTGATAATACATGTAATATGCACAATTAATCTTTAGCGTCTTGATGAAGGGTAATAGAGTATTATCCATGGGATAGAGTAAATTTATCTCCCTTGTATTAACCAATCAAAATCTGGCGTTATAAAATGAAGTACATGTATAATAAATCTTATTGACTCGTTTTCTTTAAAGACTGTATGTTGAACTCCCATCTCCTTTTATTGATATTGACCATCTTGTTTGCCCTTTTCAGTCTGTGCCAAACTGTTTTAGGGTTTGTCTGACCGAAAAAGAAATTTGACTATTTCTTCTATATGTTCAACCATTGAAAATTTCTGTCTGACCAAATGATTTTTTGTCTGACATTTTGTTGGTCAGACACAGTTTGGGAAACACTGCCTTTTAACATGTTTAAACAGGTAAAGTTCATATTGTTTGATTTTTAATATGATGTCTGATATCAAAATTTATGTCCCTTATAAATATTTCAATTTCGCTAAAATTGATGAGTTGAGCATAACCGTTAAATTTATTACAATACTCTTGTTCAACCTTTCATATTTTGGAGCATTGCTATATAATATATGTCATTTCAAAGAGTGAAATGAATGTCACTTTAAAAAGGAATATATGTTTCTTTCTTCATGGAAAATAGTTGAATTAATGTATGTGTATAAACATAGACAATATCACATTTGATTGGTATTTGTTTGTTTTGCCCATATTTGCCTTGGTTTGCCTTTAATCTTACCAGTCTGATGCTAGCTGTACACCATTATCACCAGTAGCAGCTATAGCCTTCTCTCTGCAAAATTCAATACATACATGTATAATTATATTACAGAAAAATCTATAAAAGTCCTTGTACATTTATCCTGAAATCATTTATATCAGTTTGAATTTCACCTAGATATTTCAATAAGGCTGCATGTACATGAACCTAGTACACATTTTTGTTCATGGGCCAGCTGAAGACCACCTCTGGGTGCAGGATTTTATTGCTGTGTTGAAGACCCATTAGTGGCCATGGGCTATTTTCTGCTGTTTGGTTGGGTTGTTGTCTCTTTGACACATTCCCAGTTTCCATTCTCAATTTTATGACAAATGGAACAGACAAATAACCTATAGCTACAGTGGATAAATCAAGGTGACATTATGCATGTTATACATATCGATTTAGAACAGACAAATCAAAATTAAATATTGGTGAACAAAAATTTTGGGAAACACATGAACTTAAAAAGGAGTAAGTTAAGGATTGGGTGCATTGACAGGAAAAGTGTCTACTGCTATGCATGTAATATCATGATCATATACCCCATTCACAGAATCACACTCAGTCAAAATGACACAATTGAAAATTGAACATCATAAGTAAAATTAGAGATCAAAATATTGTACTGGTTCCTAAGAAATAAGTAAAGACCACGAAAACAGACCGCAAGTGACAGTTTAATTAGTGGGTAATGTAGATAAAAAATGTATATCATAAAACAAAATGTACAGTGCCTTTTTATTAAACATTTATAAATATAAACATTTTATATAAAAATCAAGAGATTTTCATTTGATATCAAATATCCCATACAAGTCCTCTTGCTTCTTATTTAAATATGATTTTATTTACTATCTTAAACAGGAAGTAAATATTCTTCCTGATATGAAATAATCTCTTTGATTTGTAAAATAAAACTCTATTGTACACTGGTCCATTTAATAATGTGCACACTTAAAGTCAGTAAGCAACAAAAGAATGCACTTTAAACTCACTCTTACTATTTTAAGGTGAATCAAATGGGTGATGTTCCCGATACAAAATAGACAGTCTGATACATGTAACATATACATGGTCTTATAATTGTGTGGTGATTTAGGTAAAAATCACTTTTCCATGGTTATAAATGAAATACTGTTGAATAAAAGGTTATTATGATTATGAATTTATGATGATTGGGTGTGATAGCATTGTTTACATGCTTGACACAGTCCTTAAAAAAAACAAATAAAAAACACTGATTTCTAAATTCCAATACTGCAGTGAAAAAGTAAAAAGGACAGAGTACAAATGGAGTATCTTTTATAAAAGATGAGTCAAATATAATTTATATATTACATTTTTTACTGTCAGGTTAATAGAAATTTTGAGAAAAATTGTTACTGATTTGCTGAGTAGGCCAAAATGCTTTCATGAAGACTACTGTCATACAGTAACGTTTCATGGTGAATGTTGGTGTCTGATGGTTGATTGTTGGTTGCCTTACATCCAGTGGTAAATATCTCATGCATGTTCAGAAAGAGAACAAATTAAAAATAAATACCATCGGTAAGTCCTGTAAATTAGAGGCCATCCAGGATTAAGGTCAGAAAAATTTGGACTGCCACAGGAAAATGTCAATGAGGGTACATTGTAAATTGGATAGGAACAAAAATTTAGCCTGGCAACAGGCCACCTAATGACCCCTCAAAGGGTTGTTGCAAGTGTCCTTAACGTGCAAAGAGTGTGACACTCTCTCTACACGAGTTTTAACATCCCCATTCTCAACAGACATGGCTGCAAACTTGTACATCCCATACGGCTAAACAGACCACTTTGTCAAGGGGTTTACTGCCGGTCAGAGGAAGACTAATGGTGACTATATTTTTATTCCCCTGTCACCATTAGGGATGTTGGTGTCTGCAGATGTGTTAACACTTTGGTTAAAGACTCAAGACATCAAAAACATGAAACAATATTTCAGTCATAATCACCAGTTATGCTAGTATCATGAGAATTCAGTAAATATGTTGGTTTTTTTTATTTTAGTTGAACTTGAGTTTATCAGATATCTAAATTTTGTAATTAATGTGTTATGCCACTAATCATAACTTTAACATAAGTTTGGTCTATTCCCACATTAAATTTTTCTTAAATTTACTTATTTACCCTTTAAACATTGATAAACATATTAATAAACATTTTTCTTAATATTATCAGATTTTTTATTTGTTATTCAGAATTCTTTTGTCAAGTTTTACATTTTAGGTAAATAACTAAGACTATTTAACAGTTTAAGTAGTGATTTCTTAAAGCATTCATTCAGTCACCATTTCATTGACAAGTATACCACATGTACATACATGTATGTACAATAACATGTATATATGAGTCATGTCATTTGTGGGATTTTTAAAAAAAAAAATCAGGATTTTATTTCAATAGTAATGCTAACATCTTCATACTGATCAACCAACATCTTCAAACATGGGATTTACTGCTGAACTAAAGCACATGGTAAAAAGAGCTCATAAAATTAATTTTTGAAGGAAAGGATATCTTAAACAGTAAATTACAGGAGACTTGAAAGTTGACAAAAGACTCTAAATAATCTTAAACTTAACAGGAAATCATATATATATATTGCTCCTACAATAAGTAGATAATTTCCTCTTAATCTTAAGATAATTAACACAAAATACTAAAGATGCATCGTTGCATTTGGAATTTCTGTCCTTGAAATAAATTGATAATTATGGTGTCCACATGCACAAGTGTTCAAATAAACAGCAAGAGTTTCCTCTTTTAAACCATATATCATTTCAAATGAAAACTGAACATGCTGAATAGAAAGAAAATCTTAAATGGCCTCCAAAAATCCTAATTTATATTTTAGGCTATCAACTTTTATGTAGATGATCGTTTAAGTAAAGGTGTCTATGGGCAAAATGTTGTAAACTCCAAATTCTATATTTTTATCATTGAAAAGTGATTCCTGTATTTGGGTACCCCAGTATTATACCCATGTATTCAACAGTTCAACCCTGTTTACATAAAAAAAAAACTCTCTATGCTATACAAGCATGCATGGCTAAAAACAAATACTCCCAATATTCGAAATTGAATACACAACACCTTTGAACAATTCAAGACTAGATGATAAATTAAAAATATACATTGTATTGCAATCATAAAGACAATGAAATCATATGTTTCTAACAGCTATGACAGTAACAAGGAATTATTTTTTTCTAAAAAATTTGAAATCTTGAGTATCTACATGTAGTTACTAATTTCTGAAAATAATCTATTACTAACATGACTAAGGAGGGGTAGTGATGCATGCATGGCTATTTACTTCTATGAAGATACTTAGCCATGCATGGTTACCTCTACTTAGTTAGATTAATTTTGTAACCATAAACGTGACAGATTATCTTTTTTTCAAAATCATTCCAATCATTATTTATTTCCTATCGGTTCATTTTTTCCCATTGTTATCAAGTTACAACTATCACTGGAAATTCATCCAAAAATGAAAAGCTTATTTTAATAGATATAAACCAATCACCAAAATAGTACATTGTAAGTGTCAACTAAAATCCTATTTTGCAACCAATAATAAAATTCATTTCAATGGCATCATTTCAAATTTGATTTGTAGAGACCATTCGTGCAAAAGAAATTAATTAAACTTCAATAATATGGTGATTATATAACTGCCTGTTACTTGATCTTGTCTGACATTGTTGTTTCTCTGAGAATGCTAGAAATTTTTTTTAAATTAAATAATTTTCTTTCTTTACAGAATGTTATGTATATACATGAGATACCATATGGCAGATTCCATATAAGAAAGTGAAACAACTCCCATAAGCACGTTAGGCAAAAATCATAAGCAATGAACTTCTGTTTTTGAATACATGCTTTACTAATAAAGATAGACAATTTGACCAAAAAAAATTATGAGCATCATCCTTTTTAAATAAACGAAGCCTTAAATATTATGTTTCTGACATAAGATTTGACAGACTTTATTGTTTCTGACATAAGATTTGACAGACTTTATTGTTTCTGACATAAGATTTGACAGACTTTATTTTTTCTGACATAAGATTTGACAGACTTTATTATTTCTGACATAAGATTTGAGACTTTATTTTTTCTGACATAAGATTTGACAGACTTTATTATTTCTGACATAAGATTTGACAGACAAATTGAGTTTCTGACATAAGATTTTGACAGACTTGATTCTGACATAAGATTTTTCATACATAAGATATTTTGACAGACAATATATATTTGTTTTTTTTGACTGACATAGGAAATTAAATCCTAGTTGAAAGTCATTTTTAAAACTCCTGGAAAATACTGCAGCCTAACATCTAACAAGATTTCACTACAGGTCAAAGAACTTTAACTGTTAGCACATTCAAATGTTTCAGACATAAGAAAACAAGTTTGACAGATCCTATGTAGGAAACATATAAGTTAAAACTATTGCTTGAATAAAGTTAAATGAAAGAATCAACATGTGTCACTGTTTTTTCTTATGCACAGCATGACTTACAGTTTTAACTGGCATATATTGGAACCTACAATGATTTTGAAAGTTTTTACAGCGATGTTCCTGACATAAGATTTATTGACAGACACTGAGCTATAAAGCAAGATATTTGAAAGTGAAAAAAAATATATATCACAGATGTTTTTGACTAAAAAATGTAACAAATTTGGGAACAGGGATGTTTGAATAACCAGACTACACTAGTAAATACCAGTATACAAGTGTCAACATAAAGCATTGCAACACATAAACATTGTGTAAAAAAATGGGAGTTAATTCTGTCAAAATTTTTTCAACTAGTTTTAATCATTTCTACTTTAAACGGAAACAATCATATCCAAAAAAAATTTTTATAATTTCTTCTAACATCATTATTCCTCAAAACATTCACAGATTATCTTTAAAATAACAGTAATTATTATTTTTATTTATTTATTCATTTTGACAGACATTTCAATTTCTTATATGGAATCTGCCATATATGGGACTGAAACTGTAAAGACTGGGTCAACTGACAATGCTGCTGTCAGTGCTGAGCATGCTGAGAAGTAAATGACAAACATTTGAAATAAACTTGTTAAACACCAATAATCTTTGTGAGCTCACCAGTTAGCACCTGCATCATGGTTCATATTATATTTGGCCTTTTTTCTTGTGCCTGTGTGTGTGTGTTTCTTATTTTCCCTAAGTTAACAATGACATTAGACTTCTCAACACTCAAATCAATAGGCTTATTTCTCTTCCATCTCTTTAATCTGTCTTATAAAGCAAATGGAACTATAGACCAAAGTTCCTTTTCCTACTTGAAAATTTTGTTCTGCAGATTTCCATGCCTGACATGGGCTTTCCTTGTTTCTTCCTACATTCATGACATTTGTCCTATGAATAATTTTATCATTTTTGTTTTTTCTAATAAAAAATTAAAACACCTCTATTTAACATGTTTTTAAACATGTTGAAGATACTTATTTTGTCATTGTTTGTGATTAATGTTTTGTTTTTGCTCTAACAAATATACAAAAACATATGTGTACATCATCCTTGGGCAAATAACCTTTTAAAGAGATGTTAAAATCTAGACTTTCTATACAGTCACATCATTTGGGATTGTCTTGCATGACTTCACACCAAAAAGAAATTTTCTATTATTAGTGTTACAAGTCATGTTTTACATTACAGTTTTAACACGATTTAAAAAGTAAACAACCAAATAAAAGAAATGTAGGCTAGCCTATATATAAAAAACTTTATTATCATTTCATAGATTTATCAACATATATACCATAATGAAACTGTTTAGTTGTTCTCTTCCCAAAATGATTGAATTAAAGAAACTGGAAAAAGTTCTATAAAATTGCATAAAACATAAAAATACTTGTTTTGTATAAAATCAAAGTTGAGGTCATAAATAAATATCCAGAGAACTATACTGCCCCTTTGAAATAAGCCCATGAATAGGAATATGTTAGATCATTCTTCATAATATTCTTTCAGATAACATAAATTGTTGTACTGCTACACATATCATGCATGTCACTGACAGATTTTAAGATTGTCAGAATATGTCGTGTTCTATCTTCGATTTTTCTTAAGAAATGTAAATAGTAAAATCAATATTGAAATAAAAACATACGCTCGTTGCTTTGGGAACCCCATCTGCATCAAAATATCAAGTGCAGATGGAGTCTGTTTTCTCTTAATCGTGTCATTCCGGTGATGTCTGGTTGGTAAATCTGCAGAAGCCATTTCTCGTCTGCACTTCCTGCTTCTGATTAAGGGAGATAATTCGAAATCATTTCCGGTGAGGGACGATTGGGGTTTAAAAATTAGCCTGGGATCCTGGCCAACTGCTTGCTTCCTATCGACGAAGTATTAGATTGGGTCAGGATGCCAGGCTATTTAAAAATGTGCGTAAATTATTAAAAAAAAACCTTTGTATAAAGTATTAAATAAATTCCGATAAGTCGCATAGTTTAAAATAGGTGAAACCAAAATTACTTGACGGAAATAAAAATTCAGGAGTCTTCTAATAACCTGGGACTATCACACTAAATATGTTATGTAATATATTAGAATTAGTTTAGAAATTAGTCCTAGCAGAGCTTGCATATGGAAATATCTTTAAATAATGGACTTCACAATTATTGATATGGTGTTTGAGGAAGATATGAAGCTTTTTTTCATCGAAGTAAATTTGCCTAGGTTGTCAATGACAATGTTTTCTCGGAGTAACAATTTTCAATAAAAAAAAAGTATCACCCTCTTAGCTATGTGTTCATTTAAATTATTGTACTGAATGTTCTGTCATTATTGTCAGGGACTTTTATTTTTTTTTAATTTAAAGTCATCAGTAAAAAAAGGCAGCTGATGGTCAATCTATATAGTTGTCTTAATCAGACAGAGAGAAGGCATCATTCCACGAAAACAGACAAAATACGAATAAAAATGTAGAAAATCTTAAAATTGGAAATAATCAAAAGTGTCAAATTCGAAACTTTTGGGATGCGCTAAAGAAAAAAAACATGATGACTACTATATTTGTCTTTTCTTTTGTTGTTGCTATGCCTTCGGATTGGATTGTCGTCTATAATTGCTGTGTAACACACGGCATCTCCTTTCATTCATCATTAATCGTAAAACAGAATATAAAAACGGATGAATTATTCTGCGTAATGGAATATGAATACACGGAAGAAATTGTATACACGTACGCCACTACTTCTGGTGTCTGGATTTTTTTACTATCAATATTTAAACGTGGCCTACAAATTGTATTGGACTCATTTCAACTGGAATAGAAACTCGTCTGACCATGCCCGAAGAACGAGTCTGACCATGCCCAAAGAACGAGTTTGTAGTCCCTCAAAGAGGCATTAGCTGCCGTCAAAATCGTGTTCACCAAATTGCCTTAAATTCTCATAATAGATTTATAACATACTAAAACTTATATCCAAATTACAATAAGTCTTAAATAAACAGATTACAAGGCCGATAACATTTATGATGATAATGGATTTTCAATAGTGCCCTTTTAAACACAATTTAACTCGTACATCGTACAAGGAGGACTTTATATATAGTACCATAAATGTTTTGACAAATTTTCACAATGCTTTACTTTACCTAAGATAACGTACACGCATTTTGATATCATTGGAAACATTCTATCTGCCATTTTATTCCATTGCAAACGGTTTTCTCGGATTGATTAAACTATGTTTTCATAATTATAAACCTATATCTATGATGGTCTTGGTGGGGCGCCTTTGTGTCTTTATTGTTTCAATTTAGAGGGTCTGGGTGGGGTCTACAGATTAGTGAATAATCAACTTTTTACGGTCCATGTTGGGGGTCTCATTGGGCCGGGGTTCTGATCCCGAATCCCGCTTACTGTTTTGTCAGATTCACGTATCCCGCTTACACTATGTACGTATTAAGCAATTCTCATTTTTTTTGTAATTTCCCGTGTCCCGCTAGACTTCAATTCCCGTTTTCACGGCACAATAATTTGACTTTCACGTGTCACGACTGACATACCCAAGAATGAAGGACACTAATTGCCGATTACCCTTATCAGCGACACCCGGGGTGCAATGTTTTTAATGATGTTCGATTAACATAGAAAGTATTGGGAAAATAAATGGGTACCCTTCATTAATTCTTAATATTATTTTTATTAATTATCTGAATTATTATTAACACATACGACCGAATTCTACATAGATTTACCTTTCTGGTGGTATAAAAAAAATCAGTTTATCTTATCTCATTGTTAGGTCTCCGATTTTTTTAAATTTCATTATCTAAATTCCCTTACTCACATCAGTAAATAACGATGAATTACCTCAAAAGAAACGAGACAGCAGCAACTAAAAAACTTGAAGCACACTTAATATGCAAAGGAAATACTATTAACACATACTATTGAATAATCCTGTCAAAAAGCTATACATTTGTATTTTGATGTCAGAAAAGTCAGTTTAAATTAAGAAATTCTTAGGTCTCCGGCGTTTTGAAAAGCTGTCTTTGAAATAAAAATAACCAACACAAATGTAATATACGAAAACAACGTACATTAGCGGATCATACTAGCTGTTATACATGTAAAATAAATTCCAGTTGGTCTTAAATAAATGAAATAATACATAATAAGTTCAAATTCAAAGTGTTCACTGCGGCTATTTTTTATTGTTCAAATAGAAACGATAAATATTGAACACAAAATATTTGGCGAAACGTATTTAATGATAAATGATAAAGTATACATTTACATTTAAATAATAATAAACGATTCGCTGTTCAATTTTTTTTCTCACCCGTACAACATTTTTCCATCATTTGTATTTCGATAATATTTAAAGAAAATGAAAAGGTGGTATATTAAAAAAGCTCGAAATTGATATATTGTCAAATGAATTTTATTATCAGCAGGCACCCTGTCGCTTGATTGTCTTTCCTATCTCCAATTACGATATCTAATATATGCTCAACAGGATGCCACTGTTTGTTTTATTAAATTGAACCTGAAACAATACAACTTGTGTTAATTGGTGACATATGTACATGTAATGAATGTATGCACGGTTTGTTATGGGAGTATCATCCTGTAATGACATTACATCAATGTGGTGGAACTATTAAAACAAATTTGAGAACTCGAAATCTAATGCAAAAAATCTTTCAAATCACTCTTTTTTGGGGAATCGTGTTCCTCGCTCTTTAGTTTGACCATGGAAGTAAATTGATTAGTGTTATCTATGTATATATAGTTTAATTTGCTGCTTTTATTTTTTTATTTCTTTTTTTAATTTGTCATTTTCTATATAAATGTTATTTTTACCTAATGGTGCAATAAAAAACACATGTAAGTTGACTCTCGGTCATTTTAGAAATACACTGTTTGAAATGTTCTTGTGTGAAAAAATGTAACGCTTACAACACATTGAATGTTGGTTTCTGTTATAATGATGAATGTGTTGCCATTGTAAATGAATATTAAAAAGCCGATTGCTGAAGACCTGGTGACAACTTGTCAAGTTTTAATCTTATGCACAGCAAAAGAGGCCCTTCTTCGTTTATATGTTGGGTTTTCCTTGTATTTCAAAACACCTTTTGTCTGGTGCATATGCCACGACTCATAAAATCTAAATTTTTATTAATTTATTTTGTCCGATGAATTTGTGTCCCTGACTTTTTTTTTTTTAAATTTAAACTAATTAGCCGGGTTTTTTTTTCGTCTAAAAGAAAGTGTACATTTTATTGTCATGCACCAAAAATTACCGTTAACATCGTTTGACATGAATTTTTACTTTTATTTGTCATGAATGTACCATCCATCATGACCCTCATACAGTGTGTTGAAGTCGAGCACATTTGAAATGTTAATTAAATCTAAAAAAAAATCACAGAATCATGTTAACTAATCAACTTAAGTTCTTTATTTTGATTAATTTTTAAATTCATGACCAATGATGCTTGATATAAAAAAAAAATACAGATATATAACAAATGAATTAGTATTTCATCATTTTATATATGTTGTAGCAGGGTTGGATCCAGCCATTTTTAAAAGGGGGTTCCAATCCAGGATAAAAGGGGGTGGGGTCCAACCATATGTCCCCATTCCAAAGCATTGATTGTTAAAAAAAAAAAGGGAGGGTCCAACCCCTGGATCCCCCCTCTGGATCCGCAACTGTGTACACAAAGGTCTAATGAATAAATACAAACAGGTTATTCATGGGACCCTTTTCATGGAAGAAAATACTGTTTTTAATATGGGTGATTATTCTTTTAAAAGAATTTAGTATTGCTGGACAAAAGACTGGCATCTCATGCGAAATTGGCAGGAGTTGGCAGTATTGATAATGGACAATTAACATGGTAAAATGAAGACCGTACTTTGAAATATAATGGTTTACTTTTACAAATTGTGACTTGGATGGAGAGTTGTATCATTGCCATTGGCACTCATACCACATCTCCATATATCTATTATAAACTATAATTGCAAAGATATAGATTTTTAATAAAGATTTTTTTTTATATATTTACCTATATAATATGTTAAGTAAAATTTTAAATAGGTGAAAAGTCGGCAGAAAAAAATAAAGATGATGAAGAAAATGATGAAGATGAAGATGATGATGATGATGATGAAGAAGAGAATGGATTATCTCCTCCTGATCAAAAGAGACAAAAAACTTAACATGGCATAAATGAATTTTAAATGTACACTGAAGAAGAAACTTAAGACTGTACTGTACTACAATTAAATGTGATGGACAAATTATATAATTTTTTCATTGTTGTATCTTTCATTTTAGCTAGTAAAATTTACTTTCATATTCTGTTTTAGAATTGTCATTTTTGACATATATTGCCTCAAACACAGACTGTATCTTATTTTCGTTACATTGACAACAGTCAGTTTTTACTAATCCATTTTGTCATAACCGCTATAGGGTATAAGATGAATATACTTAAGACAAAAATTTCATGAAATATTTAGAATTACATATAATACAATGAATAAAAAACACATAGGCACAAGTGATTCTGAGGTGAAAGTGTAAAGAAAATAATAATATTGAAAGTTGATCTGTCTGTCTGTCTATTCATCAGTCCTGTTCTTGCCATCCCACCCCTCTGAAACCATATCAAAATCAAACTTTGTAGGTTACTGTTAAGGACATAGTAAATAGATGTGCAAAATAAAAGGAAATTATGATTCAATTTTTATTCTTCTTAGAGTTATGCCCCTTTGAA